AGAAATCACACAATTTGGTATTATCTTGTGCCATGGCAACAAGTAATCCAACACACAAGCAAACAGAAAAAGGCAAGCGAAAGAGAAGAGAAGATTGAGAAAGAGAGGGCAAATAAAACGGCAAGGGTGAAGTGGGGGAGAGGAAAACAAGAGGCAAATGGAAAATAATGTAAATGCGAGGGAGATGAGTTTGTGATGGGTACTTGGTATGTCTTGACTTGAGTGAAGACCTCCCCGACAACGGCGCCAGAAATCCTTCTTGCTACGTCTTGAGCTTGCGTTGGTTTTTCATGAAGAGGAAAGGGTGATGCAGCAATAGTAGCGTAATTATTTCCCTTAATTTTTGAAAATCAAGGTATCAAACCAGTAGGAGGCACCTCAAAAGTCTCACGCACCTACAGAAACAAACAAAGAACTCGCAACCAATGCAATAAAGGGGTTGTCAATCCCTTCACGGCCACTTGCGAAAGTGAGATCTAATAGAGATAGTATGATAAGATAAATATATTTTTGATATTTTATAATATAGATTGGAAAAGTAAATATGCAAATAAAAGTAGATTGAAAACTTATATGATAAAAGATAGACCCGGGGGCCATAGGTTTCACTAGTGGCTTCTCTCAAGATAGCATAAGTATTACGGTGGGTGAACAAATTACTGTTGAGCAATTGATAGAAAAGCGAATAATTATGAGATTATCTAGGCATGATCATGTATATAGGCATCACGTCCATGACAAGTAGACCGACTCCTGCCTGCATCTACTACTATTACTCCATACATCGCCCGCTATCCAGCATGCATCTAGAGTATTAAGTTCATAAGAATAGAGTAACGTATTAAGAGAGATGACATGATGTAGAGGGATAAACTCAAGCAATATGATATAAACGCCATCTTTTTTATCCTCGATAGCAACAATACAATATGTGCCTTGCAACTCCTATTGTCACTGGGTAAGGACACCGCAAGATTGAACCCAAAGCTAAGCACTTCTCCCATGGCAAGAAAGATCAATCTAGTAGGCCAAACCAAACTGATAATTCGAAGAGACTTGCAAAGATAACTCAATCATACATAAAAGAATTTAGAGGAGATTCAAATATTTCTCATAGATAAACTTGATCATAAACCCACAATTCATTGGATCTCGACAAACATACCGCAAAAAGAGTTTACATGAATAGATCTCCACAAGAGAGGGGGAGAACATGGCATTGAGATCCGAAAAAAGAGAAGAAGCCATCTAGCTAATAATTATGGACCCGAAGGTCTGTGGTAAACTACTCACAACTCATCGGAGGGGCTATGGTGTTGATGTAGAAGCCCTCGGTGGTCGATTCCCCCTCCAGCGGAGCGCCGGCGAACGCTCCAAGATGGGATCTCGCGGATACAGAAGGTTACGGCAGCGGAAATTGTTTTCGTTGGCTCCCTGAATGTTTTCGGGGTACGTGGGTATATATAGGAGGAAGAAGTAGGTCGCTGGCCGCCCGAGGGGCCCACGAGACAGGGGGGCGCACCCTGTAGGGGTGGGCGCACCCTCCACCCTCGTGGCCACCTCGACTGCTTCTTGGCTTGCACTCCAAGTCCTTTGGATCACGTTCGTTCCAAAAATCACGCTCCCAAAGGTTTCATTCCGTTTGGACTCCGTTTGATATTCCTTTTCTTCGAAATACTGAAAGAGGCAAAAAAAACAGCAATACGGGCTGAGCCTCCGATTAGTAGGTTAGTCCCAAAAATGATACAAATGTGTAAAATAAAGCCCATAAACATCCAAAATGGCTAATATAATAGCATGGAACAATCAAAAATTATAGATACGTTGGTGACATATCAACGGGGACAGTGGATGTCGGGGCGGCGGCTTCGAGTGGTTTTGTTTGTGCGCCGAGATGGCGATCTCGGGAACAATGCGAGTGGCAGCTCTATGGTGGGGCTCGATCTCGACATTGGTTGGGTGGCATCCTTGTCCCGCTTGGGTGGTGGGGGTGTCGGCTCGGTCGATGCGCCCCAAAGGGGGCGGTCTGACCTTATGTCGGGGCGGCGGCCCTGAATGTGGTGCGACATTCGTGGTCTGCGAGCGGTTGCCCTGAGCAGCTTGGGCTGCGGGCAGCTGGGCTGTGCGGCGTTGCTGCTCGGGGAGAGCGGTGGTATGTCGGGGCGGCGACCCCGGAAGGCGGTGCCGGTGGAGTGCGCTGGGCGCGATGGAGCGATGGTTGTCGGGGCGGCGACCCCGAGAGGATCTCTGTGGCGACCAGACTTCTGTGGCAATGATGATGGTGGGAGCGATGTCGGCGACGTGGCAATGGTTGAGGTAGTCGACTCTTCTTCGGCGTGTTCGCGGTTTTGCCTTGGTTTGTTTGTTGCTGTGGAGTCGAAGCTGCGGCGGCGGGGCCCTGTGGTATACGATGACTAGCTACAAGTGGCCCATTTGGCGATTTTCCGTGCCGCCAGCTTTCGCCTGGATTTATTCTTTTGAGTTCTTCGTCTGAGTCGGAGTTGCGTTGTCTGCCCGCAGGTCGGCATGTTGTCGATTAGGGTGGGCTCTGCCCTGTGTGTGTGTCTCTGGGAGTGAGCTTGGCCATTCTTGTTCTGGTTTTTGCCGGGTTTTTCGTAATTAACTGGGCAATTCTCTTCTGCTTAGTTAATAGACGAGGCAATCTTTGCCTCTGTTTCGAAAAAAACTTATTTTACTTAAAAGAGCTCAATAGTTGTTGTTTGGATAATGCCACATATTTGCAAGTTCATAAAATTTTCAGTCTTGTGCCAGCAAACACTCCAGGTTCGCATGCCCAGTGATTACTGAACAAAAATACTTTCTAAACAAAATGCTACAGAAGTAACTCTGAAATTGGTAGCAGCCTCACTGATAAGGTCACAACTTAGAACATATGCTTGTTCTCACAAGGCTCTAGGTTAGAACAGCTACAAAATTAAATCTGAATTACCTCTGATGCTGGACCAGGGTACCCTCAAGTTCTTGTTCGCACAAGATTGCCGCTTAGAACACGATGAGGTTCACCGGGGCAGCTAGACCGACCACGATGAGACGAGCAAGAGTTTGAACGGCACTCCACTGGGCGTACTCGCCCAACTACGCACCGAATATGGACCTCCGCCACCATCGGCAAGCTGGAGGACGATGAGCTAGAGGATTGGTCCAGGCGACGGCTACTATGCAAGCTAGGGTTCTGCTATCGTACGAAGGAGAAGGTAATTATGAAAGCAAAACGAGTGGAAGTGAGGGAGTTTTGTGCAAAGAAGCTAGCACTTATGCGCTCACATCCACCCACCACAATCTGGACCATCCATCCTGGAACTAATGGTTCAGATAGATTTTTTCTATTTTTCTATCTGTGGTAGTATTTCTATTGTAGGAGTAGTTGCTCCCGAACTTGTTTGTGCAGGCAAATAAATAAAAAAATATGCTCCCCGAGAATGTGTACCAAGCGTGTTGGCACACAATGACCGACCCGTGACTTGCACCCGACATTGGTACATAATGCAACCAGTGCCAGATTGCTGCCTATTAAAGGTGCTGGCTTGGGGATCGGCTACTGCGCCTACTTGGGGAATCTAGGACCAAAACTTTTGCATTACGTGAGCAAACGCGTCCAATACTGTCAGGTGTAAATCAGACCAAGCGTTCTAATACAATGGTTAATAAATGCGGGATGATGATCCACATGCAAATGAATGGTGCCGATAAGCATACCACTAGACGCCGTGCACTGAAGGAGCTTTTCGGCTCGGGGATCGGCTACTGCGCCTACTGGAGGAATCCAGGACCAAAACTTCTGTATTACATGAGCAAACGCGTCGAATATTGCCTGGTGTGAATCAGATGGAGCGTTGTAATACAATAATTCATAAATGCGGGATGATGATCCACATGCAAACGAATGGTGCCGATAAGCATACCACTGGACACCATGCACTGAAGTAGCTTTTCGGCTCGGGGATCGGCTACTGCGCCTACTAGAGGAATCCAGGACCAAAATTTCTACATTACACGAGCAAACGCGTCGAATACCGCCTGATGTAAATCAGACAGAGCGTTCTAATACAATGGTTCGTAAATGTGGGAGGATGATCCACATGCAAATGAATAATGCCGATAAGCATACCACCCGACGCCGTGCACTAGAGGAGCTTTTCGGAGTGTACTAGTACTATTTTCTAGAACCATCGGTGGATTATCAATGCATGAAAACTACACCTGCGTATTACGGATATGCTTGCTACTCCTATCCAGCCGCTCTTCTCACACACATACTAGCAGCATGTTCATCAGCGACGGTGACGTGCACACTAATCGGGTCAACGAGGAGGTTTTTTTTTGTAGAGTTTAGAGCTAATTATTATAGTGCCATTTTAGAGCTGATCCAATACAGTGAGCAAAGTCAATGCGTGCAATCAACGAGAAGATTTTTTTTATAGAGTTTAGAGCTGATTATAGTGTGATTTTAGAGCCAATCCAATACAGCGAGCAAAGTCAATGCGTGCAGTAAGAATAGATGATTAGACTATATTTTTGCCCAAAAGTAAAATAAAAAACCTGACCATATTTAATTAGGTGTAAATAAGACTTTTGCATTTATATAGATTTATTATTGAATGTATTTTTACATTATATAGATTTATTATGATAAATATTTATATTTTTCTATAAACTTGATTAAATTTTATAAAATTTGACTTCAGTCAATTCTAATATGCAGAATAAATAAAACCGAAGGGAGTATTTGGACGAAGAAAACGCCCAGTACCCGAATTTCGGCCGACCTGCACTCCCCACCGACGCGTGGTTCGTGATTTGTACCTAAATAAAAAACAGGACCATCACCATAAATCCTCTTGCCCAACCAGTGCCAGACTGCCAGTGCGAGTGCCACTGCCCAGACATCAATCCCTCTCGTCTCATCCCCGCTTCCTCCCCAACCCCAATCACTCTCCCTCCAATGCGGCGAGCTGCTCAACCTTGCGAGCATTGAAGCCATGGCAGCCGCTGCCGCAAGCCCCGGGCACGCCGCGCTCCCCGCTGCCGTCTTCGTGCTCCTCCTCCTCCTCGCCGCCGCGCCGCCCGCCGCAGGCGGTGGCGGCGGGTCCGCGGCCGTGAATGGCGACCGCCTCCGCGCGGACCAGATCCGGAAGCAGGCCTCGGACGCGGCCGCCTCGGCCGCCGCGCTCGCCGCGGCCTCCCGCCGCCTCCACCTCGACCGCGCGCGCCACCTCCGGCTCCTGTCCTCCCTCCACCGCAACCTCACCGCCACGCTCCGGGACCTAGGCGCCGCCGCCTCCGCGTCGTCCGACCCGGCGTCCCAGAGCGACCAGGCGCGCCGGCTCGAGCTCCAGGCCAAGGACCTGATCCGCGCCGCCCGCGCCGCCATCGCCGACGCCAAGCCGCTCTTCGACCCGCAGCTCAAAATCCAGCGCCTCAAGGACGCAATCTTCGCGCAGAACGAGCTGCTCGCGCGCGCCAAGAAGCGCGGCGCCTTCGCCTCACTCATCGCCGCCAAATCCATACCCAAGCCGCTCCACTGCCTCGCTGTCCGCCTCACCGCCGAGCGGATCGCGCTGCCTGACAAGTTCGCGGACCCGGTGCCACCGCCTGCGGCGCTAGAGGACCCCGCGCTGTTCCACTACGCCATCTTCTCCGACAACGTGCTCGCCGCCTCAGTCGTCGTCCGCTCCTGCGTAGCCAACTCGCAGGACCCCTCAAAGCACGTCTTCCATGTGGTGACCGACCGAATGAACCTCGGGGCGATGCAGGTTTGTCCCATCATGTTTCTCCATCTTGCATATGTCCTATGTTATCACTATATGTTTGTCCGATCTTATTATTATAAATAACAAGAGGATAATGACTCTGTGTCAACGGTGGCCACTGATTCACCATATCTAAATTAAACGTTGGCATTTGCTGGTGGTTAGTTTGGTGAATTGCAAAATGGCTGTATTTTGAAATGAGAGAACTTCTATGTGGATTGACATCGTCAAAATTTGTTTATAAAGATTGAGATTGATTTGTTTAGATGTGATGCTACCTAATGCATTTGTCATACAACCATCATCGTAGAAGTAGTGTGTTCACTCGGTTGTGATTATTTACTAATTACTAGCAAATAATGTATTAATTACTTATGTTCTTATTTTCGTTCACTTCCTCAAATAATGTATTAATTACTAACAAAACCAAAACTGACTTACGTTCTTAGTTCTATTCACTTCCTCAAATAATGTATTGAATCACGAGTTAACCTTATAAGTAAAAATGGTGCTAGGTTTGCAACAGTTGGCATGTATATCTCCTATGGAATTCTTTACTCGGTGTAATGCAAGTAACATACATTCAGCAGTTTTTTTATATACATGTCTTATTATAACATATCTAAAGAGTCAACACTAGTGCCACCTCAGTGGGAATATTGTTGTGCTAATTATGTTCCATACCTCAAAATCATAGAACTGACCAATGTGGTTGCCAGTATTGCTAGTATGTTTAGGTCTTCTTTCAGACGATGAGATTGTCTGTTTTTATTGGTTTGTACCTTAAATATGAAAATTGTTCTAGATTCCCTGGTCCTGTTAATATTTTCTTTTCAAAGTTGGTAAAAATTATGCCATGCATCTGCAGGTGATAATCCGCCTAATGGACTTACAAGGTGCACATTATGAGGTCAAAGCTTATGAAGATTACAAATTTCTAAACTCCTCCTATGTTCCTGTGCTCCGACAACTGGAGTCAGCAAACCTCCAAAAATTCTATTTCGAGAATAAGCTTGAGAATGCCACCAAAGATGCTAGCAATATGAAGTTCAGGAATCCCAAGTATCTTTCTATGCTTAATCACTTGCGATTCTACTTGCCTGAGATGTACCCGAAGCTGCAGAAGATTCTTTTCTTGGATGATGATGTTGTGGTACAGCGGGATCTGACAGGATTGTGGAAGATTGACATGGATGGGAAAGTGAATGGAGCAGTAGAAACATGCTTTGGATCGTTTCATCGGTATTGGCAGTATATGAACTTCTCGCACCCCCTTATCAAAGCAAAGTTCAATCCTAATGCATGTGGCTGGGCTTATGGCATGAACTTCTTTGATCTTAATTCTTGGAGGAGGGAGAAATCTACCGAGCAGTACCATTACTGGCAGACTCAGGTATGTTTCTTGCATCACCCTAATACTGTTTCGTTTATTGCCGAAACTTTAAGAACTTATAATTAGCAACAAATGTTTATGTGCCGCTAAGTTGTTCTCTGCAAATGGACAATTAGCTTATCATTTCTATATAAGAGGAATTTTGTTCATGATAAATGACGATAACTAATATTACTTTGTGTAATAAAATACAATTAAATATAGTTTAAGTTGTCACGCCGATCTAGTTAAATTATAGTATGTCTTGTTAAAGATCTAAGGCCAACTTTATAGCTTGCCAGCAAAGCAAGATAAATGACTGAAGTTAGCATTTCCATGCCCTCTGAGGATATAGGCTAGCTGGGCAGAAAGTTACAGAAGTTAGTCTTTCTATATATCCCTTGAGCATATATAGCCTGCACTATTAGCCTAGCAGGGCAACAAGAAAACTTACTGAACTTAGCGTTTGTATGTCCCTTGAAAGGCTGAAACTGTAGCCTTTACAATTCTAGAGGCCATAGTTCACCATGATGCGGAAACTCTGTCAATACTTAATTTGTTATATTAAATAGAGCATATCTGATATATGTATTTTTGCTGGCTGTGTCATCTTCAGAATGAGAACCGGCTACTATGGAAGTTGGGAACATTGCCCCCGGGTTTAATCACATTCTACTCGACCACAAAGCCTCTGGACAAATCTTGGCATGTCCTCGGTCTCGGGTACAACCCAAGCATCAGCATGGAGGAGATTAGAAACGCTGCTGTTGTGCATTTCAATGGGAACATGAAGCCTTGGCTGGACATTGGTATGAACCAGTTCAGGCAACTCTGGACAAAATACGTGGATTACGACGACTCGTTCATTCGTCAATGCAATTTTGCACCACCATAGAAGAAGGAAGCCTTGACATTATTCTGCAGAAATGGAGATTGGAACTGGGGAACATTACATCAGGAACACACGTGCGCCGAACATTTTTTACTGTCTGATGCCTGCCATCCTGAAACCGGTATTCATTCCTAATTCGGAAACAATCGAGCTCTTTCCGACAATCTTGTGAATGTGTAAAATTGTGATACGAATTATATGTCTCATGCTATGCTTAGTACGAGTGCTGTAGAGCTTTGTGTTGGTACTAGCACGTATGAGTATACAAGTACTCTTATTTGTTGGCCTCTATATATATATACCATGTAGTCCCACCGTCTAGTGCTTGTAGTAGTACTCTATAATTGTTCGGATAAATCGACTTTTTCTATGTAATTTCCTCTATTATAGTGAAGTGCAAAAACATAAAAAAAACACTGAGACAATGGGAGCAAATTCCTTGAGACAAGAAGTTCGTTCTCTGCACGGAAGTCTATTCCAATAAGCTTTCCACCAAAAAAACGGAATGCAGGGAATGACCTTAAGCTTCCATACGCAAGAGAAATGAAGACCACCTTCCTCATTAAATGGCTGGCAGGTGGGAATGGGAGAGCCTCTTTTCTTTCCGCAATGGAATCGGCTTAAGCTCGACCTTTTCTTTCATTTCCTATCATAGGGATATAAAAATAAATCCAATTGCGGCATAAGCCATCTAGTAGGCCTGTTTAGCATTCTAAGCAGCCGCCTTCCTATACGCATAAAATGGAGTTATATTAGTACCTCACACCACAATATAAGTCTTATTCTAAGTAGGATCACCCACATTTATTTACTAAGATTTGCTTTATGAAAGTAAATGACACCAGGATGGTTTTGAAAACTTGACTTATCAGAGAGGGGCCAGGGGGCCCCTTATAAAAAGAAAACGGATCCTTGAACCTCTTTCACGCTCATGTCACGTCGAGGTACTGCAGAAAAAAGAACTGCAAAATCCGCGAAAAAAGCAATCCATAGAAGGATTTGGCACCGCTCACTAAATTCAGTGGTTAATAAAATTTGTAAATCCGTGGTTCCTGTTTGGAGAAGAATCAACAGAATAGCTATTCTTCGTTTTTCTCCAAATTGGCCAAGTTACCCATTGCATATTGGCACTTATCGAGTATAGAATAGATCTGCTTCTCTTTCTTCTTATGAACAGAATTGGCTCTCCTTAGGAAAAGGAGATCTAAGTAGAGGAGGTAGAAAATAATAGATACCGTCTATTCTATTAACTAGTCATCAAAAAGCAACCTATATTGAAGCTCTGCCCTTCCATCTCTTGGATAGATAGAGAGGGAGGGCAGAGGCCTTTGTTTCCCTTTCAGTCAAGAATTGGGGCTTCACACTTTTTTTATGTCTTTCTTATAGCGATCGCTGAAAGTCAGTCAATGCCCTGGCTTCAATGAATGAAGACCGATGGGCTACGAAGTGGAGATGATGTCGTCGTGTCATTGCTCGTGATGTCTTATTCTAATGAATTTTATTCTTCTTCTTCGGATTCAAAATAGAAGAATAAAAGAATAAGTAGAATAATTAAGTTAAGTCAATCCAAAAAGAAAAGGCACGTTTTAAATCAGACTGGACTGAACGAAGAAAGATCTTTCCACACAAGAGTGAAGGGGATCCTTTAGAAATAGTTCTTAGCTCCAATCAAGCTTTATCTAGTAAATGATAAATAAAAGTTGCCCACATGAAGATCAATTATTGGGATAATGGCAAATTGATCCAATGGGGTTTCAAAAAAAGCTGATTCGGAGCACTTACAGCACTACCCGGCGGGGAGTCTGTGGCCCTCCATATTTCGTTATAAAAATTAACAAAGCCCGTGTTCCAAGTGAAGCTTTCGCGCCCCTTGAAATGTAAATCTACGAAAGTCTCCCTTAGGGCATCTCCAGCCGCACCCCCAACAGGCCCTCCCCAGGCGATTTTGCCGCGCCGGCGCCAAAAAAAGGCCCCAGTCGCGTCCCCAGAAGCCCGTTTTTTGCCGTCTCGGGCCAAAACTGGTGCCGGCGGACCCAGGCCGAACCCAGCGCCCTGGGGGGCGCTTGGGGAGCCGGCGCAAGCGAAAAAGGCGCGTGGGCCCACCCTGGAAGCGACCCGAGGGTCTTTTCCCGCCGTTTCTTGACGCTTTTCCCTCGCATCTCTCCCGCTCGCTCGCCTTCCTCCCGCCATTCTACCCCTTTCTCCCGCCAAACCCCCTCCCGCTCGCCGCGAAGAAGCACGCCATGCCGCCGAAGAAGTACGCCATGCCGCGCGCGGCGGCAACCGCGACTGGCGCCGTGGTCCAGCCGAAGCAGAGGAAGCCGAGGGCGCCGCCATCGAAGCCACCGGGCCTGTCGAACGCCGAGTGGAGGGTGGAAGTTCAGCGGCGCGAAGCGGTCACCGCCGACAGGCGGAACAGGGCCATAGCCAAGAAGGCCCGCGACAACGCGGCGCGCGCGGCGGCGTCTTCCTCATCGGTCGACCAGGCGGGGATGAATCCACCCGTCGTCAGCCACGCCCAGTACGCGCCCTGGGGACAGCAAGGCGCCGGATCTCCATGGGGTTCATCGTCGCCCGGCTACGCCGACGGCGACGCGCACGGCGGGTTCAACCCAAACGTGACCTTCCCTCATGGCCACCCCGCTACGCGCACGCCCTCGCCCGCCTTCGTTGGCGTGCAGTACCCTCCATACAACTACTCGCCGCCCGCCTCCTACGTGTCCACACCGACGCCCCATCTCTACCGCGGACCGCTACCCTTCTCGCACCTCGGCGACGCCGACGACACGGGAGCCGACATGGACGACATCATCGCGACAGGATCGACCGCGGCCGCCGAGTCTCCCGGGTTCGCCACCCAGGACGAGGTAGTGGACCTCAACGGCGACATGGAGGCCGAGCTCGGCTACGTCTACGGCGACGACGCGCAGGAACCCGAGGAGGAGGAGGGCGAGGAGGAGGAGGGGGAGGAGGAACCGGCTCCTGTTCCGACGAAGGGGCGCCAGAAGAAGAAGAAGCGGGCGGCTAGGTCAGGCGAACCGCGCATCAAGTGGACGTCCAAGGAGGAGGAATGCCTCGCCGAAGCATGGAAAGTTGTCTGCCTCGACCCGACCACCGGCGTGAACCAGAGCTTGGACACGTACTGGGACCGCATCAAGGCCGAGTTCGACGAGCGGAAGCTCGTCGACCCCTACTTCAAAGGCGTGTACATGCAGCGCGGCTCCAAGGCGATGGCGAACCATTAGGGGCGTATCCAGTTGGCGTGCAACAAATGACATGGAATCGTCGAGGAGGTCGTGGCTCGCCCGAAGAACGGCGACAGCATTTGCGGCGTCTTTTGAGAACGGGAACGACCAAGTTTGAATTTTCCGCATCCTGGGGCCGGCGCGTGGGGGCGTGACTGGGAGCTAGGTCACCCCCAGGGACCGAACTAGCGTCGGCACGCCCTCAGGCCGCTCTATTTAGACGCCCTGGGGGGCCGAACGGCTGGAGATGCCCTTAGACTTTCAGGTTTCACTTTGACACGTCCGTGGTTGTCCGAGCAAGGGTTTAGCAAATTTGCATCTCGACTCTCTCGTTTTATCTGTGATATCAGAGTCACGTTCAGATTGAGGCAGGGGGTCCTTCGTGTCGTTGGACCAACAGGTTCATGTTAAATTTGTTCCCGTGTTGATTCGTTTGTGAGCATTGATACACATCCCCAAGATCTGATTGGGCTGGCGGCGATTAGGGGAATTTTGGTGTGTCGGCTTTGCCTACTAGTTTAGGTTAGGGTGCCCCCGCAAAAAAGAAAAAAAGGTTTAGGTTAGGGTGTTTTAGCTAGAGGCAGTGTTCAAACGGATGGCGGTGTTTCATCTTTGAGTCGGTCTTCCGGACTTCTGTCTTTGAATTCGTCTGTTGGGACAAAGTCAATAGAGCTCCGATTTAGATTCCCGTCGTCTCTTTGGGGCGGAGAGATTAGTTTTTTCTCACCGTATGTGTGCGACATCGAGATTTGATGTTGGGTGCTTCATATCGATTTAAGGGATCAACAACGATGACAACTCTAAAGCCTTGGTCCTTAGGGGCACGTGCAAGAATGTAATGGACAAGGTCAGGTTGACTTCGGTATGAAAGCGGCGACTGCAGCACATCGGCAACTCGTTCTGAGGGCATTAGTGGTCGTCCAGAGGCATTACTATAATTTTTATCACGGGAGTGCTTTGTACTTTCGATGATCTTTAATAATAGATCCGAGTGTTTCGAAATAAAAAAAATGACTATCGTTTTTCTCTCTTTTACTTTATTTTTAAAATGTACTTGCGTGTTTATTTATTCTATTTTCATGATGACTACTCTCTCCGTCCCAAAATATAAGAGTAAAAGAAAATGATCTTATATTTTAGGACGGAGGGAGTATTAAACTACATGAATAGTTTTTAGGTACATGAACACATCTTTTCAAAAGTCATGAATGCATGTTTCTAAGTAAATGGATATCAATTGTGTAATCTATGAACATTTTAAACATATAGTAAGCAAATAGTTTATGCACAACACATTTTTTATTTTTGTGATTTGGTGTAATTTTTCTGCCTAAACAAGAGTCCACTTCCTTATTCGACACCTCTTTTTTTGAGGCAAACTCGCAGAGCTTTTTATTAAAACGTCACGTTTACAGGGACGAAGAAAAGATCTCCAGGGTGGCCTAATCAAACATGGCGACCGGTTGCTTTGCTAGTTTGTAGGCCTCGACATTCGAGGTTCTAAACTCATGACTAAAAACACAAGAAGTAAAGTTGCTAGAGTGCTCCTTAATCTCCTACACCACAACTCCATAAGCCGATGATGTCCCTCTGTGAATAGCTTCCACAGCTCGCTTGCAGTCCGAGGCAATAGAGATTTTTTGAATATAGAGATCCTCTGCAAGTGCTAGAGCTTCTCTTATTGCCAGACTCTCCAACACCTCTGGCTCGTCAATGTTTCTGAATACGACAACAGAAGCCCCCTGAAAAACACCTGAG